GTTTGGTTGTTTTTTAAAACCTTGCCCAGCCCCTCCGAGGAGCTCCGAAAGGAGCGTTCTGCCCTAGTTTTAAATAAATGGCATGTTAGAACATAATGTATAAACGGTAAAGAGGCAAACTGTTACATGCATAGATAACCTACCAGACTCAAGTCCTTTCGGTCTCTACCTATATGGCAAACTCAAAACTACAGTTATGCTCTGCTTATTGCACAATTAGGTTAAGTTTTATAATATGCTTGAGAAATATTGTATACAATGTAGTCCCCCCCCCATTTTATATGATAAGAGCTTTACTGTTTGAGTTATGTATGTGCATTTAATGTAATCAAACATGTTTTTATTTAACTTGGTTTAATCACTTTTCCATGTTGTGTTTATTTAATAAAAAAATCTTCCCTTTAGCATATTTTCTATAAATCAGCTGTCTGATTCTGCCATTGCAGAAATCATCTACATACCTCATTCTTTAGTTATTCTTTTTCTTTACCAGTGTTCCATCTGAACATAAACCTTTACCTTTTAAGACAATGAATATATATACATCTTTACTTCTATGACATACTGTTCCATAGCATATTCCATTTTACTGCAATAAATCTCTTATTGCAAATGACAGTACTCCACCAGACACTGATCATGGTCTTTGTATTCTGTATTATTTTCTTTACATGTTGTATTTTTATTAACATTCACCACATAGCATAAAAGAGCTTCAAATACATCAGAGCAAACGTCTAAATGGTGTTGGAATTTTGAGCGTGCTGGGTGAAGCTGGTCTAAACATTTACAGCAGCGACAATGACGATGTGTGGTTGAATATCGAACAACATAAAACTACACAAACTAAATGAGAATGTGATGCTGAAGATGGAAGTATGGAGGCTTTGTGCCTGTTTGCGCTGTGTGATCAAGATTCACATTGTAAGACTTGACAGCAGTGAGTATGAAGATATCCGTCTTCTGGGTTATTGCGCTGTGTAGTCTGGTCGATGTTAACCAACGTTTCAGAGGTCATACTGCCTCCGTCATCAGAGTATGAAGATTTCTGTCTTCTGGGTT